TGTCACATGAAGTTTGGTCTCTTCTACTTCTTTGCTGGCATGGTTGCCATCATGACCATCTTCATCTACTTTTTGTTTCCGGAGACCAGAGGTGTTCCCATTGAAGAGATGGGAAGAGTTTGGAAGCAACATTGGTTCTGGAAAAATTACATTCCAGATGATGCTGTTATTGGTGGACATGAACATGATGAAAACTAAAATACCAATTCGGTTTAAGCTGAATTGTTTTTGTTATATATGTTGATCAATTATGAGTTGTCTTCACGTTAATACTGTCTAGATAATTTGTTAAAAAATTTAAAATTCTACCCCATACACTCACACTTTAACTCTAAAAAAAAATAAAGTTACCTAATCTCCTATATATTAATTGAGAAACTTTTGAAAAATTGTAACCTCAATTTTGTAATAATTAAAAAAAGAGTCCATGCCTACGTGTCACTCAATTCGGTAGCCAATTACATTCAATTGAAAAATAAGTAGGTCCACATTCGATTTGTATATGTCGCTAGATATATTTGTTGGTCAAACTATATGATATGATGATATGATATGATATTTATGATAGAAGCATTTATGATTGTTCTGCTAGATATAATTACTATTTTATTTTCTTTCCATAAATAAAAGCTACGGAATTACCATTATTGACATATATATATATATATATATATATATATGACAACTAATGTTTCTAATAATAAATATTTGCTAGCAATTTGTATCTCCTCCATCATTTTTCTTTAATTTTATATTATTAAAATAAATTAAACAATCAAATTGGCTATAAAATTAAACTTTAGATTTTTTCGTATATGTTATATTTTGAATTTTAAAACCGAGAATAAATGACTAAAAATATTAAAATTATTATTTTAAAAATTAATAATCAATAGTTTAACATTTTTATTATAAAAAGATGCACATGATTTTAAAACCATATGAGTAAAAAGTATCATTCAGTAATAAAACAAATATATATAAGATTATATAATTATTTTAATTTCAAAAATTTCAATGAGTTTTCAAGAACATTTATAAATTATAAACGTATTAAATTTTTCACATTGAAATTTTTTGTTATCAATTATTTAAATATATTAGTTCTTTTTTAATTTTATATTTTTAAAAGATATTAACACAATCGATAATATGGTTATTTTTGGTATATACCATACAAACCGAATGTATGTGATTTTATAAAAACCGTAAGATTTGGATATGGTTTGATTTATAACCGATTAAACTGAAACATGAAAATATGTATATTTATTTGTTACATGAGTTGAACTATAATTATGATTTGTAAATCACTTGAATCACTTGAACTATAATTAAGTAACAATTTAATGCAATTGAGGCTTCTTATTTTCTTAGTCTTTTTTTATCTTTTTTGCTTTTTTTATAATAACTAAATTGAAGTAAAAATTATAAATTTGATGACAACAATTAGTTGAAATTCTTTACTATTTTTTAAATCTCTAAACAAACAGAGTTGTGTTCAATCGAAGACATATTAATTTGATGAACACTAAATATGGAAGAATATATAAACTTTTCTTTCATGCTTCTCTTTTGTTTTTATTTTTATTTTCAGAATTTAGAGATTTGATATTAATTCTAAATTTGATCATTTTATTAGATGATAGAAGCCTTTTTGTTTTTCATTCTTTTATTTAAATATATAATATTTTTTTTAGTAAATGACTTTTTGACAATATGACTCTAAATATGATCATATTATTTATTTTTATAATATATAATATGATCTCAAACTAAATAATGATGTATTTTGGTATAAAATTGAATAAACTGAAACCAATATATAAACCAAATCAAACTGAAGTAAATATGGATTTATAATAGTATTTATATTTTAATAACCGAAATACCAAAACCTGATATCCAAATTGAACACGCTTAATCCAGATGAAACCGAACTTTTGTTTCATTTTACAAAACATAATAAAAATAATAACTTCATTCCGCGGAAGGCGCGGGTCTTATCTAGTGTTAAAGGTATAAAGTATATTTTACTCTTCAGTAAAACTTGTTTTGATCACTTATTTCCTTGGAGGCTGTTTCTGTAAAATAAACTAAAAAATTATCTTAACAAATTTCTTTATTTAATTCAGATAATTATAAATATATAAAATAATCTAATAAAAATAAACTCTAAAGTTACAAACTTTAATTAGTATATGATATCTTAAAATTAAATAAAATAAGAATAAGATTTTCTCTTAATTAATAATTGATTAAAATAATAAATTATCATAATCTTGGTATATTTAATTTAGAGTTATTTTCACTTTAAGGCAGATTTAAGTTTTTATTATCATAATAGGGCAGTTATTGCTCCTAAGTTAGTTTTTTGAAACTACAACCCAACTATAGAGTAACTAAGTAGATTCTTGTAACTAAATGAATTTTATATTTTTTTCTCTTTCTTTGTGACATAAAACAACTTTTCTCTTTTTGTTACAATAGTTTAATGGTTAAAAAGAATGAAGATGCAGAATCTGAGCGTAAAGCTTTGGCGATGAGACGTAACTTGAGTTTGGTCAAAAATGACGGCGGTGAATATCCCGACCGTTGTTAGGGGAATTTTGAATTCTCAAAAAATAATTGTTTAAAACAACAGAGATAGAGGATGTGATAGAAGGACTACTGGAGAGACTAATTTTTTGTATATTTTGTTTTCTTAGTTTTGGGTTCTAAGTTAATATGTGTATATATTTGTAAGTTGTAGAGGTAAAACGCAAAAACAATGAAGATTGCATGATAACAATCATTGGTGTCTGTGAGTTGTATTTGGAGGAAACACAGAAAGCCTAATATGAAGAAGATGAAGTTATTACAAAATTGCCACTCATTAAAAAAAATTAATTGGATGACCACGTGGATGTGTACATAATGTTAATGTACACATGCTCGTGTACACGAATACATTGGATGAACATGTAGGTATGTACATAATGTTAGTGTACATAATATTAATGTACACATGTACATGTTAAAGAGATATATTTGTATTTGTATGTATAAGGACAAAGAAGTGTGGTTTACGTGAAACAACATGCTTCTATATGTACATGTGCACATGTTTCATGTGTACGAACAAAACATGTGTACATCTTTTACATGTGTACATTGTATATTACTAAGGCAATGTTCATAAAATTGTGTATTCTCATTAGCATCTTAAAATCATGGATATGTACAATTCGGTGTACATGTGTACAGTGGAAAATATTGCAAATGCAAATCTATCTAACAAATTCATCAGGTATACATGTGAATCTGATGTACATGTGTATTGTTGTACATATGAATGGTAAAATTGTTACATATATATTCATCAAATTAATCACTGTGTACACATATATTTCATTGTATATGTGTATCTTTACATATGATATAAAACTAATTAAAAGAGTAAGATTTCACAATGTTTCGAAATGTCCATATGTGTACGTTATTTACAAAAAAATGTATAGTTACAAATGTAGAGACAAATACGAGTATACATGTGGAGACCTTATTTCATGTACACATTTTGCATTGTCCACATGGATACTATAAATTATCTACTTTAGTGGATATTATGATGCACATTATCAATGTACTTATCGATACCTTAGTTCTTGAGTGTATATAAAGTACAATGATAAATTCATTGTGTACATATTTCAGTAAACCCTAAAAATATGGGGAATACGAAGACATATTTACTAAGTTACACTAATAACTTAGATACTAGTGACATATTTTGTTTGGTTGTGTAATGATCTAATTAGAAACCTGATTCTTTGATTTTGTTTGTTTGATGTTCTTGGAAAACTTCGTTAGGGTATACACAAACAAGAGTGTACATGTGTACAAAACAAACAAGTTTCGTGTACAAACCAACAACATAGATTTAGCTTGATATATCTCAAAAGATAGATTTAATAATGAAGATATTGATTAAATACATGTTCTGTTAAAAAACAAATTCTGGAAAAACATAATTCATTTTATAAAAAAAAAAAAGCAAAGAACCGAAGAAGAGAAAAAGAAGAAGAAGAAACATATATGAGGGGCCCATTTGATTTTTCTTGTTCGTTGGAAAAAAATATTACGTAGTTAGTTAACGAAAAAAATATTACGTAGTTAGTTAACGAGTAGTTAGAAAATAGAACTAGTTAGTTTAGATAAAAAGAAGCTGTTAGGATAAACTGTCTTAGGAGAAAAAACTGTCTTATTTTGATATAAATAACTCAAAACTGCCTTAGAGTGATATATTTTCTTTAATTTATAGAAGTTTTATACGTTTCATTAAAGCTCAACAAATCTGTACATGGGCTATATATAGAGGCTGAAGCCCAACTACTTTAATCTATCGTAAAGGAGAGTTTGAGTCGGCCACAAATCAAAGAATTATTTATTTTCTCTCTCCTGTGACGCCTTCCTCTCTCTCTCTCTCTCTCTCGTCTCTTAGCTTTGAAGAAATTTCACAGATTCCGTCAATGTCTTCCGGCGAAAACCCTACTCTCCCCACCGCCGCGGCGGTTGACAAGATGTTCTTCTGTTACCAGTGCAACCGCACAGTCACAATCTCAATCTCCCCCTCCTCCGATCCTTTCTGCCCTCTCTGCTCCGGCGGGTTTCTAGAAGAACACAACGAACCAAACCCTAATCTAAACCCCACCGGTTTCCTCCCCATGGCTGATCCTTTCTCCACCTTACTCCCTCTCTTATTCGGCCCCTCCTCCTCCTCCGCCTCCGCTCCTCCTTCGAGCTTCTTCCCCCCCTCGATGCAGCAACAGACACGCTCTACCGGTGGAGCTTTCGATCCGGTGTCGTTTCTCCAGAACCATCTCCAGCACTTGCAATCCAGCGGAACTCACGTCCAGTTCGTGATCGAGGATCATCCCTCTTCCGATCCGTTTAGCAGGATACCGGGGAACATGGGGGACTACTTCTTTGGCCCGGGACTCGAGCAGCTGATTCAGCAGCTCGCGGAGAATGATCCTAACCGCTACGGGACTCCTCCGGCTTCGAGGTCGGCGGTGGAAGGGCTGCCGACGGTGAAGGTGACGGTGGAGATGTTGGGGTCGGAGATGAATCAGTGTGCGGTTTGTATGGATGAGTTTGAGGAAGGGGGAGATGTGAAGCAGATGCCTTGCAAGCATGTGTTTCATCAGGGTTGTTTGTTGCCTTGGCTTGAGTTGCATAACTCTTGTCCCGTTTGTAGGTTTGAGTTGCCTACTGATGATGCTGAGTATGAGAGTAGGGGGCAGGGGCAAGGAGGGCAGGTGAGTGGGGGTGCGCAGGGAGTGGTTGATGGGGGGCAGACGGGAAGGAGGTTTAGTATACAGCTTCCTTGGCCGTTTGGTTCTGGGTCTGGAGGAGCACGTGGAAGTGGTGGTGGTGGAGGTGGGTCTAATCTTGAGACCAGGCAGGAAGATTTGGATTGAGGTTTGTACCTCTTACTATGGACCCTTTGTTTGATTTATGTGTTGTCTTTTTGCGACTAGGCTACTTACTGTTTTATGGTGAAAGGTATGAAATTGAGTTTATTGTTTGAGACCTCTCAGAGGTAATAGGTTTTGTGGCTTCAAGCGCGTTTTCAGTAAGTGGCTTTCTACTGTAAAGTCATACGCAGGCTATTGCGTCGATGCCGTATATAAATTTTTTTCTTGAAGTTTGAGTTTGTGTTAGGCATCTGTTTTGCAATAGTGATAGATATAGAGCTCAAGTGTGGCTGATTGATTCAAAAGAACCATAGGCTGCTTAAACTAGTTCCTCTTGCGGTTCCTCTCTGTTAGCAGTATATATCCTTGCTTGTTAGATATCTTCGGTTCTGAGCTAGGCTCCGAGTAATGCGCTAACCTTTGGTATTTATATAATAATAATATAAATAAAAGTTTTCTCAGTCCTTCCGGATTTTGTGAATCTGGCATGTGATATTTAAGCAAGTCGGTGATTAGCACACTCTGTGCTTTAGTATGGGAAAATGGTGCTATAAAAAATTTGAAATTTTGCCATGTGGATAGAGGAGAGTTTGTAGGGGTATCTTCCGAGATCTCTCAGACTCTCACTGTGACTGCTTTAGCATGATGATAGTTCTCTGGTTAATGTAGTAAGTTGTCTTACTTTCGATGCCTAAATGCTGGAGAATAAGCAATTGTAGTTTGTAGTGGTATTACAAGGAATGCAAATGAGTAACTGCATATCTAGTTAGACAAGGTTAGCATAAATATTAGACCCAAGAGTCATTGAGACATTGATTGCAAAAAAGTTGGTCTCTAGGCTTGTGCGACCGATTCTTTGGAAAAATATCAAATTGGTGCAGCCGATTATGTGACAGGTTATATAATTTATAGACGTGTTATTTGAGTTTGGGATCCCGACTGTTCCATCAGTGTAGTGTGGCTCATACTTATCATTATTTAAGTTTGGACCTTTGTGGTCGAGTTTTGAAACCACTTCTTCGATTACATGTTGGTTCCATAAGGTTCACATTGCAATGCTTTGAAGATAATGAAAGAAACCACTGCGTCCTCCTAATTCTTTACTGCTTTCATCTGTGGTCAGGGTCATTGCTTGGAAAGTTGGATTGGAAGAAGGATGTGCGCAAGTTCTCACACAGAAAGGCAGTTTCATTAGGGAAAAAGAAAGTGACATTGATGGTTCGCCATATCTTGTACATTTAACAAAACAAAAAAAAAGTATTTTATTGTCTTATTATTTTGGGATTATACAACGAAATGTGAGGCTTTAAAAAAATCGCAATATTTCATTGAAGTGATTATGTTGTTTATTTTCTCCGAAACTTGATCAAATATAAGGTGTCAGACAAAGCTGATTGATATATGATAAATATCTACTAAAAAGAGATTGGTATCAAATCAATTATCAAAGAGAATTGTCGAGATATTCAAGGAGGGTTGTTGAAACGCATATCATAAACTATTTTGCTCAAATCATAATTTTAAGAATTACAAGGGATCACAAAATCGCATTGTCTTACCAACGCGACGCGTTTTAATTAATTAAAAACCCGAACGCGAAAGTGTAGTGAATTGCGTTTGAAGCGTTGGGAGATTAATACTTCCCTATTTCATCATCTCCTCCTCCTCTTAAGTAACCCTAACGAAGTCGGAGCTTCTCCGGTAGATCTAATCTTGAATCCCCCATTCAAAATCGACGGAGAAGAAAGGAGTGAGTAATGGATCTGGATCAATGGATTTCCAAGGTTAAAGACGGTCAGCATCTCTCTGAGGAAGAGCTTCAGCTTCTCTGCGAATACGTACGCCCCTCTTCTTCTCCTTCTCTTTCCTTACTTGGATTAATCTGTATCTTGTGGTTGGAGGTGGCTTCGAACTCTGGTCTCTTCCTTGATTTTAGGGTTTTAACTTTCTTGAAGACTATCAATAAGTTATACGTTGATGAGTCAATAAGTTATCTTGTGATTCATATGTAATTTATGTTCCATTTTGGTTATAGAGTTAGCCAAGAAGATGTTTTTATTTTTTGATATGGTTTATGTTGTTACAGGTGAAAGAGATTTTGATTGAGGAGTCAAATGTGCAGCCTGTGAACAGTCCAGTCACCGTCTGTGGTGATATCCATGGCCAGTTTCATGATCTTATGAAGCTTTTTCAGACTGGGGGTCATGTTCCCGATACGAATTACATATTTATGGTACTTAGTTTTTGCTTCTTCTTATTTTTGGGTCTCTCATATGATATGAATACATGATGATCTGCTGTGGGAAATGTTGGCAGGGGGACTTTGTGGATAGAGGTTACAACAGCCTTGAAGTCTTCACTATTCTTTTGCTTCTTAAAGCTAGGTAAAAGTGTTTTTATAAGTTCTCTACAATAGACTCCTTTGTCTTGCCTTTAATATGTTGCTGTCAGTGCTTTTCCTTGTAAGTCCTTGTTTATTAGGCCAGTGATCTTTGACAATTATTAATAGCTCACTGAAAGAGGTGGTCCCAGTAAACTGTATTTGGAATTGGTTCAGATGAGGAAGTAATTGCTTCTCAGGCATCTCATGTTTCTCTTTTGTTAGATTTTGGAGAGATACCAAGCGATTTAGTTTACTTGAGTATGCTAGGGTTGAAGTTACATTGCTATTTTTGAAGTATATCTTCATTTGGGGCATTAATTGGTTATTTGTTTCTTTTGTTTTGTAATATGTAGACATCCAGCCAATATTACACTTCTGCGTGGAAATCATGAAAGTAGGCAGCTAACGCAGGTATGCATTATTCTGTTCTCCTAATATCTATTATAGTTTTCTTCATGCACTTCTAGGAGGTAAGTAATTTTAATTATGTTCTCGTTGTATAGCAGGTTTTTGAAAAGTTATGATTTTGTATATGTGGTAATTCCATGTCAGATGTAGACAAGGATGTTAGCTAAGATGCGTTTTATGTTAATCGAGTATTTGAAAGCTAATTTCAGCAGGTGCTTTATATAGTGCCAGTCTCCTTTTTAGCATGTGTGTTCTCCTTTAGCGCTCCTGATGTATCTTGCCTACATTGTTGTATACGTGCGCTGTTTAGGAATTAAGTTTTAGTGATCATATGTTTTTTTTGTTTCAATGCACTCCTGGAAAACCGTCATTAAGATGTTTTTTGTGCCGCTGGGAGGCACAATTAGTATGTCACATATAGTGTTAAAGTTCTCATCCCAATGTATGTTTATCAGGTATATGGTTTCTATGACGAGTGCCAAAGGAAGTATGGTAACGCTAATGCGTGGCGATATTGCACAGATGTGTTTGACTATCTTACCCTATCTGCTATTATAGATGGCACAGTAAGTAATTCCTTCAGCATCTTGTCATTGTCGATGAGAAGGAATATGTTCTGTATCTTATACGAAAATAATATTTTCTTTGTCTAGGTTCTATGTGTTCATGGTGGCCTTTCCCCGGATGTTCGGACAATTGATCAGGTTAAACTCTGCTTCTTTTTTTGTGCTTTTGGCTTTCACCCGTCAAGTATGTTTCTGGCTTAGCATGTTATTAAGGTCATCAACTCACTTTATATCTTATTGTGGGCTCTAGATAAGACTGGTCGATCGAAATTGTGAAATTCCCCATGAAGGGCCCTTTTGCGATCTTATGTGGAGCGATCCTGAAGATATTGAAACATGGGCTGTTAGTCCACGTGGAGCTGGCTGGCTTTTCGGATCAAGGGTTACTACTGAGGTATGTTTTCCTTCTACAATGGTTGAATCAATACTGTTACTGATAAACGATTTCACGAGTCTGATATTTGGTTTCGGCTTCTTGTGCAGTTCAATCATATCAATAAACTTGAACTAGTGTGCCGTGCTCACCAGCTGGTACAAGAAGGTCTTAAGTACATGTTCCAAGATAAAGGCCTTGTAACTGTGAGTGTCCTGCTTCTTATGACGTGAATGCTGGATGATTGGAAATATTACTATGCTTAAATGATGTGTTTCTTTTCTTCTTCTTTTTTGTGAAGGTATGGTCTGCACCCAATTACTGCTACCGCTGTGGCAATGTCGCTTCTATATTGAGTTTCGATGAAAACATGGTGAGCCATCTCTTCAAGTCTTTCGTATTGCATATTGTCTGTAGCCTTCTCTCGTCATGCATAGTATCCATGTCACCGTCTCTATCAACAAGTCTTTTCGATATTCTGCTCTCGACCAGATTAAATACACACTTCTTGATTTGTATCTGCTTTTTGAAGTGAAAGGCTTAAGGAGAATTTAGATTAAGTAGGCCTTGTGTTTTAGAATATCTGATTTGCCATAGATTCTATGGTTTAATGATGAAAATCCATGGGAATGCTTTTGCTTTGTTATTACCAGGAAAGGGATGTGAAGTACTTCAACGAGACAGAAGAGAACAATCAAATGAGAGGACCAAGGACTGGAGTTCCGTATTTCCTATGATGAAACAACGACTAAGTTGGACGTGGTGATGAAGCCATTGCTACCTACCATTGGCAACATGATCAGGTCTCAAAAAGGTTATAATGTAGATATAATATTTATCTACTGATGTGTTTCACTTAATGTACTTCCATTATTTTTGTCCCTCTAGGTTTTTACATTTTCCTTGTGAAATTCAACAAGACAAAGACTTGATAGCTTTTAAGTCTAGTCGTGATTCTCATCTTTTTGTTTTCCCCGATTGTTTCTTCTGTATTGTTTACTCACACAGTTACACTGTTTCCCCCCCTTCCTTATCTGTTGTTGTGAAGATGACATTAATTCCAAAAATAACTAAGAGTCGTGAAATTATCTGAAATTCATCTAAACTTGGCGTTGCTGACTATGAATGTGCATCAGCGGATATCCACGATATTAGCCGTTCCACTTTATCAGAATCAAAATTCTGTGTCCGGATATTCGATAAATTTGGTATTTTTGATTGGATATTTAATCGGTTTTAAAAGAATTTTAAGTTAAGATTTAATAAATAATAATATTTTATCATCATTTATTTTAAATAGCCATATATATATATATATATATATATATATATATATATATATATCAGACCAAAGACTACATTAAAATTTTAAAACTTATGATTTGTTTTAAATATTTAACATTAATGTACTTTATCCTATATATTTGCAAAATTCGAATTTCTTAAATTCAGTTGAACTGGTAACGGATATTATGATAATATATAAATATCAAACTGGTCATGTTTAATAATAAGTCAAACTTATAAGTCAAGGCATACTGTTCGGTCAGTCTTTTTAGTAATCTTCTAAACTAATAAAAAGGGTTTGTTGATCGATCAACAACAACAAGAGAGAAAAAAAAAGAAATGGGTTCATCATCATCACCAACCCTCACCACCGCACTAAACCAAGCCCGTCCTTTCCTCAGAGGAGAGCTAGAGAACGTCGACCCCAAACTCCCCTCCCTAATCACCGTCCTCAAAAGCGTAGGCGCAGGAGAGTGCTGGCACAAACACGGAAGCTTCCTAGACCACTTGATCGACATCTACAAGATCCTCAAGCTCTGGAAAGCTCCTGAGCCCGTCTCCCTCTGCGGCCTCTTCCACTCAGCTTACTCCAACTCCTACGTAAACCTAGCCATCTTCCACCCTTCCACTGGCCGTGAAGTCGTACGTGGACACGTAGGTGAAGCAGCAGAGTCTCTGATCCATCTCTTCTGCGTTGTGCCGAGGCAGAGTTTGATCCACGACGATATTTTGTTTAAGTACTCTGATGGAGAGCTCGTTGAGCATCTTGAACGCTCTGAGGTGTCGTTGAGGAAGGCTAAGGAGGGGTGGTTTGATGGAGAGGAGGAGTGGAGGAAGAAGGTGAATGAGTTGGTTCCTGAGAACGGCGTCGTTGTGAAGCATATAAAGACTGGTGAAGAGATTGTTGTTTCGAGGAGGGTTATTGGTGTGTTTTTGTTGATGACGATGGCGGATTTTAGTGATCAGTTGTTTGGGTTTCAGGATGAGTTGTTTTGTAATTATGATGGGAGGTTGGAGTTTAAGGGGAATAATGTGTTGGCGTTGTGGCCTGGGAATGGGAAGCCTGGGCTTTGGATGAACTCTAACTCGAGGATGGGTGCGGTTTATAGTTTGATTGTGAGAGAAGAAGAGATTTTGATGGAGGAGAGGAGGAGAGGTTCTGGTTTTGTGGTGAGGAAGGAGAGAGATGAAGATATTGAGCTTGTGGTGCCTCCTGTTTTCAGTTTCTGCACCAAGGTAATATGTTTCAGACCATCTTTTTCTTGATCTAGTTGACTAAATTGGTTCTGTTTCATTGCTTAATGTCATGATCATCTTGTTAGACCACATCCATTGAGGGGTGGCTTAAGGTTCTCAAAATACCCATATTAATTCTAATATATACATACACATATATGTATGTTGAGAACGTTGGGTGCTCTTATTGCTATTTCTAGGGATCATTTTCTTAAACGACACTCTTAAGTTGAGAAGTTTTCATGAAAATAACTTGATCATCAAAGAAAGATTGACTCAGAGTTATCAGGAGCTATCAAGAATCAAACTGATCTTAATAGTTTTTTGGTAGCCACACACATATATACAAATGATACACGTATCTAGTTAGGTGAGTGGTTACATGTCTAGATCATTGTGCTGTTTTTCTTTACCTAGTTTACTTCATACAGACACTGATCATCAAAGGAAGTAAGATGAATAAGACATGCTACCAAGACACGTATATGTCTTGGACTCTATCTTCTTTAGTTTAGTTGCTTTCATGAAACTGATACTTCATGAAGAATTGATCACCAAAGAAAGAAAGATGAAGAGGACATGCTACCAAGAATTGATTTGAGTTGTTTTGTAAAGTTTCTTAATAGCCACATATATACAAAATTATACATGTATCTAGTTAGTTATTTGGTTTTAGAAGGAAATAATTTATATTTTATGTGATTGTATCTCCTTTGGTTAAGTTTAGTTTCACGAAATTAAACTAGAATGGCCTCCTTGTACTTGGTTATATACGCTATAATCATCAAGAAAATATAAACTCTGAGAGTTTTCAGTTGATATCAAGGAGTTAGTTAGTTGAATTTTGGAGTTTATTGATATAGCTACACATGTAATGAAACAGGTATTGGATGCAAAGGAGCAGATAGAAGCAAGAGACATGTACTGGGAAGCTGTGAGCAGCGACGCGAGCAAAGAAGGTTACTTGGAGAGAGCAGAGGAGAGATTGTTGGGGTGTATTGAGAAGAACCCATTTGTGGGAGAGCCACATGTGTTGTTGAGCCAAGTGTATCTAGGGAAGAAGATGTTCGTAGAGGCAGAGAGAGAAGCAGAGAGAGGGTTACTTCTGCTGTTGCAATGGGGAAGTCCATGGGACAAGAGGATGTCATGGGAAGGTTGGATTGCTTGGGTTAGAGTTCTTCTCATGAAGTCACAGGATCAGTCTTGGCCTGATGCTTCTTGGGGAATCTTGAACTTGGGTCTTGTGCGTTAAAAGATCATTGCTTGTATACCAAAAATAAAGGTTTGATAAATAAACCGATGCATGTAGATCATCAAAGTCTTTTAGGCTTTTGGTATATGTAATCCAGAATTACAATATCCGAACATATAATGGTCATTGTACCATAAGAATAATAAGACGTTAGTGATTTAGTTCCAATGGTACTATAAGTCAATAACATTCTTCACTGTCTCAATCCCCTTCACTTGCATCCTCTGCAGCATGTCTTGGACGGTCCCTCAGAATTGTCTTCAGCAACTCCAGGCGTTCTTTATTGCTTGCAACCATCTTTGATACCAGTACCACCAAAGATGTGGTCCAAATCAAAACACTCACTACAGTAGAACCTCTATAAATTAATACTCGATAAATTAATAATCTCAATAACTTAATAAATTTTACGGATCCCAACTTGTGCCGGTGTAAAATATGACACAAATCGATAAAATAATAAGATAATAATATTTTCAAAACTGCCATGTAAATATATAGTCCCATTAAAATCATAAATTAATAATCTATCTATAAATAATTTTTATATAAGTACAATCTAACATTATATTGTTAGATTTATATTTACAGTAAAAATACTTTTATTTTTTTTAACATTTCATTATATTTTGATAATATTTAGTCAAATTATATCGAAAACCACGTAACAATTCTATGAAATATAAAATATGCACTATATAAGATAATAAAAGAATATAAAAGTCAAAATTCTAAAATTTAAATAATGTACATATGATAAAATCAAATATTTTTTTTATTTTAAAAATAAAAATGGAAAAAAATAGAAAAAAATCTAAATAAGGAAACTTTTGTAAATTAATATCTCTATAAATTAATAAAATTTCAAAGTCCCAACATTATTAATTTATAGAGGTTTTACTGTACTTTCTTTCTATTTTGTAGGGTTGGGCACTATTACTTAATACTTGGTTTAAACTTGCTATTTGATTCGGTTTAGTTTAGAAAAACAAGTACTTGGCATAATCAAATCGAGTAACAAGTAAACAAATTTTATTACTTGTAAATACAAGTCAAGTATCAAGTCTATTTTTATTTTTGACTACTTGACTTGTTACTTGGTTTGTTATTTGGTTTGTTACTTGTTATCGGTTACTTGTTTTGTTATTTGTTATATAATACTTAATTTATTCAAAATTTGGTATAAATTTTATTAGTTTATAAAAATTATCTATTGTATTGTATTTTCATCACAATTAAAAAAGAATTGTGTGTTTAATATTAATACTGAATCTGAACGTAAATCCAATAAAACTAAACTATTGGTTTTTGTATATTGTCAATGCTTATAGATATTTTTTTAGCTTCTATTTAAAATACTTAATAACTTATGCTTGAAAGTTTGTATATGTATATAAAATTATGTTTTGGATTTCAAATATTTCATGTTTAAGAAGTTAAGAAAAATATATTAAATAATTGAAAAAGTAAATATCAAACCAAATCAAATACAAAACAAAATCAAGTAATAAACCAAGTCAAATAATATACAAGTATTCAAAAATTTTACAAATACTTAATATTATAAGTTATAAGCCAAATACAAATAAAATTTACAATTGCTTAAACAAATCAAGTCGGGTAGCTAAGTACTTCAAAAATACCGGATACTTGCTTTATGCCCAGGCCTACTATTTAGAACGATGAAGAAGATGAAAAGTGTTACATGAGACATTTTGTTTACTTTTTAGTCCTTTTTAATGTATACAGTATCGTCCACATAAATCACTCTGTGATACATACGGTAACATTCATATAGATATTTTCACATTCTAAAAACTAGCAAGTTTAAAAATGTACAGCAGTAAAATGCTTCAGTCCATATGTAAATTTCACAGTGGTCAAAACTCAAATCTATGAGCAGAACACTCTAGCTGAAACTCATTTACCACTAGACCAAAGCAACTTGATTGATATTTTCACATTCTAGAACTAGTAAATTTAAAACAGCAGTAAAATACCGTCACGTTTCTCTGATTTAAACCACTAGACCAAAGCAACTTGGTTGATATTTTCACATTCTAGAACTAGTAAGTTTAAAACAGCAGTAAAATACGGTCACGTTTCTCTGATTTAAATAGTAACTAACCGCTCATATAAATATTTTTTTCACTTTACATGTGATTTTTTTTTTTAAAACTTGACCGGATGCTAATTTAATGGTTCTTACCCGAACTAGGTATGAAACCGGAGTAACCGAGTAAGGGTAACCGTGGAGTCACCGGCGTTGTTGCATTACCGGATCTCCATCACATACAGAAGCACGTGTCGGCTGTGCGTTGGACGATGCAAGCTTGCAGATCCATGCAAAAGCTAGCATAGGTCGACACGTGGTTAGGATTTTGAGTCAAAACTTTTTTACGCGTGGCTTTAATTACATAGCTCGAAGGCCGTTTTGGATCAGTAATTGGATAATGGGCCTTTAGATTCCTTTATTATCGAGTTTGTAATTTTGATGGGGACTGGGCTTTATGAACATACTTGTAGTGGCTTTTAATGAAATGACAAATTGACAACAAAAAAATGTAAAAAAAAAAGAACGGTCCGGAACCGGTTTAAGATTAAAGACCGAAACGAGTGACCGGTTTAAGATTAAAGACCGAAACGAGTAAAAACCAAACAGTAGTGTCGCGATTACAAAACCCTGAGCGAGACAAGACAAGACCAAAACCCAAAGAGGATCTCTCTCGTCTCCTCCAACAAAAGAAGAAAACCCTTTTACCCTTTTCTTTCAACCGTAAACGATTTTCAAAGACGGTAGCTAAGACGGCGGCGATGGCGGATATTTTCCCACCTCTAGTGACGTCACAAATCGATGCGAAGCCTAAAGTAGATGAGAAAGTTGATTACTCGAATCTCCCTTGCCCTGTTCCATATGAGGAACTCCACCGTGAAGCTTCCAGTTTAGTCATCTCATACCCACTTTCTACGATCTTGATTTTTCTTTATAGATGAGTGTGAATGCATTTGTACTGTCTCCTTAGAGTTTTAACTTGTTTTTTTTTTGAAACTATACAGTATGATTGAAATTGTTAAACTGTAGATTAAAAATCAAAGCGTTAGTCACATTAGTGTCTCTCTCCTTATGGTTTTTTTTACTGTTTTGGTGTATGTGTGACGTGGAACATTTTGATTTTTATGTTTCAATTGGTTTGTAAGTTGTAACTTGGTTTTGGTTAAATTCTTTGCAGTGTCTTTAAAGGCTGATAATTTCGAGGGTTTACGTTTCGACTTTGGCAAAGGGTTGAATCAAAAGTTCTCTCTCACACACAGGTTGTTATTATATTTACAGTTTTATTAATAAAACACTTTCATTTTTTTTATTTGTGTGTTTTAACTAAACTAAGCTTTGTTTTTTTTTCTTAAAACAGTGTAATGATGGGGCCAACAGAAGTTCCTTCTCAGTCACCTGATACAACGATCAAAATTCCAACAGCTCACTATGAGTTTGGTGCCAATTATTTTGACCCAAAGGTAGTAGCATTTTTTGGTAATTTGATTTTCTTATAGCTATCAAGAAGTAAATGAAAGTGACGAATAATATAATATGCAGTTGATGCTTTCTGGAAAAGTTATGACTGATGGTAGACTCAATGCAAGACTCAAAGCTGATTTTACTGATAAGTTGATCTTAAAGGCCAATGCTCAGGTAAAGTTCTGTATTTACTCTATGATCGTTTTTCTGGAATATTTTGTATTTTATCTTTTTTTTTTCTTTTGTTTACTTTCTTTCTCAGTTGACAGGTGAGCCACATATGTCGCATTCAGTGTTCAACTTTGATTACATGGTGAGGAACTTTTCTCTAATTAAAACTTTCCCTATCCTTGTGATACTCACATCTGGTTTGTGTAGGGAAAAGACTACAGAGCCCAACTTCAACTTGGGAACAGTGCTCTAATTGGAGCTACCTATATTCAGGTCTATTGTCTCCCTTGCAATTTTTTAAATCTTGAAGTCGAAATAATAAAAAAGGGCTAAGTCATATATCTTTGCAATTGCACTTATGCTCTCGTGGAGTAACGTAGTGATGAGAGATGAACCCATAAGTCGTTCTTATTATGTTTATCTTGTGATGCTTAGCTTTATGGTTATAAGAAAAGTTGTCTTTTGTTTATTTTGTTCATTGTGCTGATTGTGTGTTTACATAAACAGAGTGTGACACCACGTCTATCTTTAGGTGGGGAAGTTTTTTGGGCTGGTGTGCCTAGGAAGTCGGGTTTAGGTTACGCTGCAAGATACGAAACTGATCAGATGGTAATGCGTCTTCTCATTCAATTCATCAAGCTATTGGTGAATAACAACACTAACAACCGTTTGTGTAGTACCTAATAAACTATTATTTACCAACAGGTCGCATCTGCGCAAGTTGCTAGCACTGGTCTTGTAGCTATGAACTATGTTCAGAAGATTTCAGAGAAGGTACAACACTGTCTTTTTTATCATTGAGCTCATCTTATGTATAATAGTATAAAGATAAAACATTGAGTACCTTCATTAAATTTCAAATCATGATCAGGTTTCACTAGCCACTGATTTCATGTACAACTACTTTTCAAGAGATGTTGTAGCTAGTGTTGGGTATGACTACATTCTCAGACAGGTAAATAAAGTTCACCATATTTATATATATTCTGAAATGTAATGGAACTCAAAAACTAAGTCTGTGTGTTTGTCTGTCACAGTCTCGTGTGAGGGGAAAGATTGATTTCAACGGAGTTACATCAGCTCTCCTGGAAGAAAGGTTGAGTATGGGACTCAATTTTCTTCTGTCTGCAGAGGTTTTTAAAACATAATATTCTCTGCCTTGTTCGTTTCATGTCTTGAGATTTAAGCCGAAGATTCTTGTTTTAAAAACTGTTGATTGGGTTTTGTTTTCTCACAGGTTGACCATAAGAAGAAGGATTACAAGTTTGGATTGGGTTTATTAGTCGGCTAATGAAAAGAAGGAAGCAGCACGCAATAAAAGCACTGGCTCTATATACACGCAGCGCATATTGCATCAGCATCCTACCCCGGGGAATTCTGTTAAATTATTATTTGTATTTCCCTCTCAAGATTTCAGTTTAGGCTTTTTGAACAAAACCGTAAGGAAGAAATGTTTGTGTTTATATTTTTCGGTTTAGGATTTCTCTCTAGGACCTTCATTAAGAAAAAAGGTCATTACTATTTTTGATTTGCTGTTACAGCTAAAAAAATAATCTATTCAAATAACCTCAATTTAGGCCTGGACATCCGGATTCTTGGTCTTGTCGGATTCGGATCTTTCGGGTTTGAAAATTTTGATCCATATAAATATCTATAATTTTTTGGTTGGGTTTTATCGGATTAGTTCAGGTCTATAATTTCAATATCCGAAAAATACTTATAAATTTTGGGTATATTTTGGATCTAGATCGTTTGAATATTTAAGATCTGGTATCGAAGTACCTAAGTGGACCTGAAAACCCAAAATTATTTGAAGAACTGTCGAAATACTCAAATACCCGAAATTTATCAAAAAAAATCAGATCCAAAAATCCAAAAAGTCTCCAAAATTTTAAATTATACCCGAAACCTAAAATTATACCCAAAAACCTAAACCAAAATATTTTAAAAATACCCAAAATACCAAAAATATATCTAACCACCTAAATATACCTTATATAATAATTTATGGGTATCGTAGATAGCCGATCGGATCTCGAATAGGACCCGAACTCGACCCGCAAATCCAAATAAAAAAGATCCAAAAGATACTTCAGCATGGATCCGGATCCGGACCCAAACTTGTTTTTAAAATCGGTTCCGATTTGGGTCCGGGTAAATGCTCTAGCCTACCTCAATTTTTTTTTCCATTAAAACAGAAATGGCACAATAAAGAAATATTATTTTATAGACATACATTGAAGTAGATTTTATACTTATTTCAGAATTTTTCTAATTAAAAGCAGTAAAATATTGGGACAATAGCCGAATACATGCAAATCTAATTTTTTTTAAATTTATGTTAGATTTTATTTATTTTAAATAGAAGAGTTTCATTAACAAAAAATATGATTTACTCTCACCTGAACTTATAAAATATTTTAAAAACTAAGGCCACAAAAAAAAAACAGTTAGATGGGCCTAGACATGTAACCGTGGGCCAAGCAAATATAAACTTTTTTTACCTTTATTTCCATATTTTTGATGCAAAATGTAATTACCAGGCTGTAAAAGAAAAAAGAAAAACATGTTCTGTTTTCTGCTCCGTCGTGTCGTGTCATGACAATTGAGTTCACTCATCACTGAGAAAGGAAAAAAAAAAAAAAACTAGGAACAGTGGCTTCCTTCCTTCCTTGTTCTCCAACTCGCTGCTGTGCTGGTACATTTCGTTTTGTTTTCCGTTATCCCGCCACTTTTTCTTAACTCCGGTGTCCTTGGCGCTGTTGAAATTTGTTTCCTTACTACAGTGAAAAGCTAGGGTTACGTTTCATGCGTTTATCGTCCATTCCTTGAATAATGCCAGCAATGTATTTGCATCGCAGGCTAAATTCGACTTTCTTAGAAGCTGCTGGAGTCAAAGTCTAAGAAAGAAAGAAAGAAAAAAAAGTCTAAGAAAAACCACGTGATGGATTCTGATATTAAAATTAGTTCAGGTAGTAGTGGTAGCAGCCTCGGCAACTGCAGTGTTAGTAGTAGTAGTAGTGGCAGTGGTAGTGGTAGTGATGAAAAGGTATCGGAGCTAATTGGGAAAGAAACTAGTAGTGGTATGTATACACTTATTCTGCTACTTTTTTTACTTTTGTCCATCTCTATCTTTATCTGTCTTGGTGAGGTTAGGTTTATGGAGTAATTTTCTTAAACTCAGGCAGCAGTAGTTTTTCTTCTTCCTCTGCGGGTAATAGTCAAGACAATGCTTCTCCTAGTGGTGTGGCCCGGAGTTATACATCTAGGCCACGAGATACTACTACAGGGAGTGGGGTTAGGATCCTCCCTCCTTCTCCTCCTTCTATGACACCGCATGGAACATTATCTGCTTCTCCTTTACATTAGCAGATGACCAGGTCCAGTACATATAATTAAACTTTTTTTGTCCTAGTTAATTTCTGTGATTTTACCCTCAAAAATATTTAAAAGGTCTATTTTCTCCAGGGACTTGGTAAGACAGTCTCAATGATTGCTCTTATCCTGAAGCAAAAGTTTGAGTCACAGTCAAAGTCTGATATCTCAAGCAAGAAAGAAGCTGAAATAGTAGACCTGGATGCTGATGATGAGTCAGAAAGTGAAAGTGAAAGTCATGCAACACAAGAGCTCAAGGTTTCAGGCAATAACAAGAGACCAGCTGCTGGTACATTAGTTGTTTGTCCAGCGAGTGTTGTAAGGCAGTGGGAAAGAGAGCTTGATGAGAAGGTCTCTGATGAATCCAAACTTTCTGTTTTAGTCTACCATGGTGGTCATAGGACCAAAGATCCTAGTGTTTTAGCAAAATATGATGTGGTTATCACAACATACGCCATTGTTACCAATGAAGTTCCCAAACAGTTCTTGGTGGATCAGAATGAGAACAATGAAAAAGATACCGAAGAACATGGTTTCTCCAACAGTAAAAAACGTAAGAAGAGAGGTGGAAAAAGCATGGACGATTCTTCTTTTGGTACACTCTCAAGAGTTGGGTGGCTGAGAGTAGTACTAGATGAAGCTCAGACAATTAAGAATCATAGGACACAAGTGGCAAGAGCCTGTTGCATTCTTCGAGCTAAAAGGAGGTGGTGTCTGTCTGCAACGCCAATACAAAACACAGTTGATGATTTGTATAGCTATTTCAGGTTCCTTAGATATAATCCGTATGGTGTGTACAAGTCATTTTACCTTGCAATCAAGGTTCCATTTATCAGAAATGAAAAACTTGGTTACAAGAAGCTTCAAGCTGTTCTAAGGGCTGTAATGCTGCGCCGTACCAAAGGTACTCTCTGACCATCTCTCTATCACAATCTTATTTAACACTATTCTGCTGAATATGTCGTGTTCTGATATGCAGGAGCATTGCTTGATGGACAACCCTTAATCAATCTACCTCCAAAGAAAGTTAACTTAAACAAGGTGGACTTTTCAGTGGAGGAAAGGTCTTTCTACAAGAAGCTTGAAGAGGAATTACGATCACAATTCAAGGTTGTTTCTTCTGTGACAAGTTTTTCTTTCTGCCTGTGAAACAACCTTAACTCGTTCTTGTACCTGATAATATTTTCTGCAGGCCTATGCTGCTGCAGGAACGTTGAACCAAAACTTTACCAATATTCTATCGATGCTTTTGCGTCTACGCCAAGCTTGTGACCACCCACAACTTGTTCACCTATATACCTCAAATCCTTATGGAAAAGAATCCGTACAAGCAGTTAAAAGACTTCCAAAGGAGGCTCGAACCAACCTGCTTAATCGTTTAGAGTCATCATCTGCCATCTGCAATATCTGTAATGTAAGTGGAGAGTAATTGAGGGCTAGAGGTAGCATGTTCTCTGTTCTCTATTTCTTACAAATATTCTGTTACATGTGATCTCTTTGCAGGATCCACCAGAAGACCGTGTAGTTACGCTGTGTGGCCATGTATTTTGCTATCAATGTATTTCAGAACATATCTCTGGTGATGATGAGAACATGTGCCCTGTACAGTCATGCAGAAAATACTTTGGGCGTGATGATGTTTTCTCTCAATATGCCCTTAGAAATGGCATCACCAATGATGATTTAGACTCTAGTTCTTCACAGGATAAATCATTTTTTCGAAAAGACGAGTTTACTTCATCAAAAATCAAAGCTGTCCTAGATATCCTGCGTTCCATCAGGTCACATGAAGGTGACAATTTTACCGGTGTGGAGCCAGTGACGCTTCACTCATCTTCACCTAGCCAGGAACCAATAAAGACGCTAGTATTCTCTCAGTGGAATGGTATGCTTGACTTGGTTGAGCTCTGTTTTATCGAAAACGGCATAGAATTCAGAAGATTAGATGGTAGAATGAGTCTAGCAGCAAGAGAAAGGGCTGTAAAAGAATTCAGAAATGATCCAGATGTAAGTGATATTGAATCTCTCTTTGATATATTTCATGAAGCTCTCTAACAGTGAAAAAAGTCTCTTTTAACAGGTAGAAGTGATGCTGATGTCCTTAAAAGCTGGAAACATAGGTTTGAATATGGTAGCTGCGAGTCATGTTATTCTTTTGGATCTTTGGTGGAATCCATCAGCTGAAGATCAAGCTATAGATCGTGCACATCGTATTGGACAAACTCGGCCTATTAGTGTAACTCGTGTTACTATAAAAAATACCGTAGAGGATAAAATTTTGTATCTTCAGGTATGTTCTTGCCTAGTATTTGATGTCCCTTTTATTTGTAGTTATAATTTTCCATTTTCTTAAAACTCTTTTCAGGAGGAGAAAAGGAGAATTGGTGCATCTGCTTATGGTGAAGATCATGGTGGACGCTCTACGACTGGACTGACGGTTGATGATCTCAAATATCTTTTTATGGTATAAGACCACTCATTGTGTGCTCTACCCGTAGCCTTCTGCTTTTAATATGATGCATACATAGTACTTAGAACTGGAGGTTGTCCCCAGCGTTTCTTGACCAGGAAAAAACCTCTTTTGTAATATTGAACTTCAATACTGTGGCTCTCCTAGGACTTGGTGTTTTGGTTTTTTGCATCGATTTGAAGCATGAAATATGTTAATCTAAGAATCTATTGCTGGATAATTGATACCTTTTATCTTATTATGAAAGTTTGTTATGTATTCTTGGCTCTGTTATTTTGAAACACAAGTGTGAATGAATCGTTAAGGCCGACGGGCATCAAGCCCAATATTAACATCAGACGATTTGAAGATAATTTTTAAAACCTATATAACATCTGACACAATTTTGAATATTTCGACATTAATGTATAAGGTGTAAAGATAAATGGTAAGAATTAAGAAGCTAAAAATGGCCTCAAGAACAGTCCTATAACTGCTTTCATCTGATCTAAACTTAAAATACTCTTACAAGAACATATGGGTTTGTAGACTTAAAATAGCTTTAGTTTGCCAATGTCTTCAACTCTAAGTCTCGGTTCTGAACTAATGATTGCTTTAGCAGAAGATAATACATCTTACAGGGCTTCTAAGGTTAAAGCAGATATATGCCTTCTTAACGCATTACCGATTCTTTTACAAAGAAACAACCGGCCGAGCTACAAAAAAATACAACCGCAAGATTAAGCATTGGTGGAATTCAAAAAGTTGAAAAGAGTAGGTTGGGTAGGTTACTCACGAATATTCGAGGTGGATGTTCATGAATCTCCGGTTCTCTTTACTTTGAGAAAGAGTGACGGAGCCTTCAATGACTTGGTCTTGCTCTACGTCTATTGGGTCATAGAAATATACAATCGTCTGTCCAAGAGAAATGGTTCATCACAAAGGGTAAGCTACTTTTTCAATAACATAAGCAGAGACAAATCACGTTTTATACTGTATGGTAATCATTTCTTTCTGATCTTAACCAATTTAAATGATTTATTGAGTAGTAAAAGTTGCAGAGAGCTGAAGAGATTGGAAAGTATATGAAAAAAGCATGATCTTACTTGCTCCCAATGCGTTGGAGGAGCCTCAGGAGAGGTGGACAACACGAGTGCATCACTCGGATTACTCCGTTTCTTCTGATTTCCTTCTCTAGAAGGACTCATGGATGAAGAGCCACTAGCAACACTACTTGCACTAGTACTCTTGGAAGGCGAAGAGGTTGGTCCGCTGAATTCAACGTCAAACCAGAATGCAAAACCATGCATAGGAGCTACAACAAGAAAAGGAAAAAGCCTGAGCACAGAGAGGAAAGAAAGAGTATCTTCTCTCTAAGATTAACACAATGCACGGATAGATGATACAGGGAAAGTGATAATATACCTCTCATCATTGACTTGAATTTATAATTTGCAATAACGGAGTCTAGCTCTTGGATTTTTATGGTTTGACAGTCTATATGTTTAACCTGCATTTCAAATGCTCTATGTAAATTACAGCGAGTGGCTTGGTCCTTAATCATTTACTTGGTAACAAAATGGATAAATCTTTGATCAAAGAGATTGCATGTAACAAGGAAATACCACTTCTGGCCATGTTAAAACGTTCTCGCCTGATATCAATTCCACGCTAGGTTCTTCAAATGCACACTGTTTAGCTATTTGCATCATTGCAGACACTGTAAACAACATCAAACATCATTACTGAAGCCTTACTGCGTGGAGCTTCTTTATCACTTTATAAAACTTGAATATTAAGTTCCCCAACGTGAAAGTGAGTGAGAAGCAGACATTTTAATTAACCCTTATGACCAAATAATGCCACATGTTTACTCTCTTAAGCCACGGACCAGGGCTATCAAAGCGATAATTGCTATCACAATAACCTAATTTTATCATGATGTGGGATATGGTAAACTTATCAGAAACATCACATCCACATTAAAATGAGAATCATTACTCACTTTTAACTAGTATACCAATCCTATTTAATGTGATGATTGTTCCAAAGTTTTAGTTGATAATACACTTACTGTCGATTCCATAAACGCTACGCCAAAAATCAATGCTGTGACTGTATCTGTCAGGGTGTGAAATAGGTGCCATGTACAACTGTTAACAGAAAGGAAATAACAACATGTCAAATGTTGCCTTGTTTCCAAATGTCATTAGAACATACTGTGATAAAATATTTAAAGGGCTGATAATCATACTGTTGCATGTGATGGGAGAATTAAACCCCCAGGCTTCAACCAGCGATCTCTAGCTGTAATAACACTTCCAAGCATACTCTAACATCACATGAAAAAGTAAGACGAGAATGAGAGACGAGGGAGAATCAAGAGAATAATAGTTCGGTAGGTTATCATTTGGACATCAACATCATATTTTATGTACAAGATAAAGAAACAACCTCATATAAGAGCATGTAACCCATCCACTCTGAAACTATAACATCAACCTCCTCGTCGATTTCAACATCCTGGAGAACGTTACAGCAAAAGAAGAGTTACTAATTTACTACAGAATGAGGGTTTGCGGACACACTTGTATGCTGCACTCAACCAATCTATCTCATAGCGGTGTAGAGGTAAAGACCAGAATATCCCAAATTCTTAAATACATTAATCTACTTTCGCATCTTTCTGTATAAGGACATCAACTTATATTTTCAAAACTTATATAGACATCAACCTTAAGCATGTCTGACGTAGAATTCAGGACCAACTGGAAATTTATCATAGCAAAGATATTACCTCCACTCTCCCATGCAAAACAATGACCTTGTCAGATAAACCGTTGGCTTTCACAACTTCCTGTGCCTAGTGGTATCAGGAGAAAAACAAAAAAAAATACATAGAAGCCATTAGTATGAAACGCAAAAGCTTTTCAACGCTAATAGGAAAAAAAAATGAAAACCATGTGCAGAACTAAAACACCAGACTCGTACTAAATCCTATGTTAGTTAAGATCAACTTCACAGAAACATTCTCAAGATTAATTCTTGAACTGACTGATGTCAGAGGTGATACAATTATACAAACCATGAAGCAATGAAGAAACGTAGATTTTGATTAAATTACAAATAAAATCTGGGCTCAGTAAAGGCAGCATGCAACAATTATATCAAAGAATTCCTTTTCTACTCCAAGCTCAACAAAACATGTTTTGGTGAATTTACACGATACCAAAGTGACTCCAACTGGAACTTTTTCAAGCCATTCAAAATTCTGATGACAAATTTCCAAACTCATCACTTCACAAAAAAAATGCAGAGAAAAGAAAAGGACGAGATGATCGAGAGCAGTTATTTATGCTTAAGTCACTGTAAATAAAAAAAAAGAAGAATCTGGAATAATACCTGGACTGCAATATCACTTGCATCGACAGCGTATACCTGTAAAAACATAAAGAGTGTTTGGTTTACCCCATGTGGCCTACGGAATATAATTAACACATAAGAGACGCATAGATACAAACTTAAACATGCATAAATAAACACTCCATTCTTCACATTGTTCTATACACATATAAACTAACTCTTACCCGTTTGGCACCGGCTTGAGCACAGAAGATAGAAAGGATGCCTGTTCCACACCCAACGTCCACCACAACCTGTTACAATGCAATCAATGCTGCAGCAATTAGTTTTTTTTTTTTTTAAATAAAACACTACACAGTATAAAAACTTCTTCTAAAGCTTTTTCTACACAAAGTAATCAAAGCTAAGCAAAAGACTACACAACGAGAGAGAGAGAGAGAGTAGTATAATTTACCTTGCCTTGGATGAAGCTTTGATGCTGCATTATAGCTTCCCTATAAGTCTCCGTCCTTGCCCTATCCTGAAATCAAACAAATAAAGTGATAAATTCAAAACTTAAAGCTCTCAATTTCAAGCTCTCACGACGAAGAAGAAGAAGATACCTTGATCATCTCTTCGTGGATCCCGACGTGAGCATATGAGTGAAAGTAGGCAACATCGAAGTCGGTGCAAGGCGGAGGAGATTTAGGAGGAGGAGGAGGAGTCTCCAGTGACTTCTCCTCGCCGAGTTTATCGGAAACCCTAACGCCATTGGAGAGACCATCTCTAGGTTCAGGAGCTACGCCGCGACTGCGCTTCTTGGCTCCGCCAAATGAGGAGGTGAGACCGGGGAAATGCTTCTCTTTCAACTCAATCTCACGGTGATGTTCGCCGTTGAATCCGTTGGAGGAGTAATCGCCGGGAGATTGCATTTTTTTTTTTAGTTAAAAAGACCACAGAGACCTTCTCTCTCTCTCTCTCTGACTCTTGACGACGACTCTTCTGTGACAGTATTTGACCAAAGGAATCTCTCTCTTTTTTTTCTAATTAAACGGGTTTTTCAATTAATTGTTTTAATAGTGTTTGCATTTTAACCCTTTTTGTGTCCTTTCCTTTGCTTTTCAAATTAAAGGGGTGTACATGTAAATGAAAACAAATTCTATACCAGGCAAACAAACAAAAACTTTCTTTCATGATTTTGGGACTCAACACGTAGTAGTTTAAGGCCGTGAAAGATGGCTCCTGCATTGTTTGTAGCTTCATACCATAGTGTTCGAACCATATCGTACAAATAGCTGTGCAGAATCGCTAATGTTTACATGACTGTTTTATACGTATGTACTGGTAAGTTTTGTAGGATCTTTTTAATTTTTGGTTTCTTTGGAGGACTCTTTAAGTAAAATTACGATTGAATCAAAACCGATAAGAAACTTGAATCAAGGAGGCGAAGGCAGAGCAACGAAGTGATCTCTTGTTCACTACACGCTACAGGGAAAACCAGAAACTGCTGTTTCAGCTGCTACGGCTCAAAAAAGAAGCTAAAAGAGCCGGCGGGTGTTGAAAATGAGGACTAAAGATAAGACCCATACAAATAAACGTTTGATGTTTGGTTACTCATCGCCTTGGCCATCTTCCTTCACCAGTTTGATCATGTCGTCGATTCTCAGAATTGTGATGGCTGCCTCTGTTGCAAACTGACACAAAAATAAAGCTCCTTTAATATTTAAGACATCTTATAAAAAAATCTAAATGGTGTGAGAAACCAAGGTTAAATGTTTCACCTGGATAATTTTTACTTTGCTCATAGCTGGTTCGATCACTCCAGCTTCCAAATTGTTACGGATGGTTCCGTTTACAAGGTCAAGTCCCATGCTGCATTTGCGTTTTCCCCGACATTAAAAAGCCAGTGACAAAAATAACACTCACGGGGGCAAAGACACAAACAATAATTTCAGCTTGTTACCTGGAATAGTGCTTCTTATCAGCCTTGGTTTGTGCGGTGTGGTGGTAAGCTCTTAGTTTAGCTACCAACTCGGTTGCATCCTTAGCAGCGTTTACTGCAAGCACCTGTTTCAAAAGGATGATAACCGTTGCAAAATCAGACCACAAAAAGACAGCTTTTTATATATTGATGAAAAAGGATTGTAGGTCTCACCTTTGGTATAATCAACAGCGCATCTGCAAATTCAGCAATTGCCAATTGTTCCCGAGATCCCAATGTTGTAGCAAGGTGCTCCAGGTACACAGACAAGGCTGCTTCAACAGCACCTCCACCTGCAACAACCTGTTTGACAAGAAGTAGAGTGTTCGTAAAACAAGGAACGTGGCAAATCATTACCAAATGCAAAGAGAGTCTCTAACAGGCAGTAAAAGGATGTTACCGTGTTGGACTCGAGGGTCCTCTTAACAATACATAAAGCATCGTGCAGTGCTCTCTCCATCTCATCAAGCATGTAGTCGTTTGCACCTCTCAAGATCAAGGAGACCTAACAGACAAAAAGCTTACGACGTCATGAACAAAGCAAGACTAAACTCTGACAGCTATAAATAACTTTTATACGATATGTGTAATATAACAGTGTCAACAATTGAGCATGATCTCAAGCAGAGAGAAAATGGCATACCGCACTGCTCGTTTTGGTTCCCTTTATCAATACAACATCATCATCCGCGATTCTTTCCTCCACCACTTCGTCTGCAGATCCAAGATGTGCCGAATCAAATGTTTCTTCGCCCTCCATGTCAGCAAAAGTGGTGACCTAAAAAAACAAGGATATTAGTTAAACTTTTAAGTTGGTTCTAATGCATTCAATATCGAAAAAGCATAGCTGAGGAAGTACGAGGGTTGCTCCTGTTGCCTTAGCAACATGGCGCATGTCCTCTTTGCGGACACGCCTAACTGCAATAGCTCCTGCCTCTACAAAGTACTGAAACAAAAGCAGATGAAATGAGAATCCAAGTTCAAAACTGAGTAAAGTATCAGGGAAGTGATAAAGTTATTTTTCTTCGATCTTACTTTAAGTGCCATGTCGTCAATTCCCTTCGTGGTCAAAATAACATTGGCCCCAGCTTTAAGAAGTTTCTCTATCCGCTCTTTTGTCATGTCAGCTTCTCTGTGACACAAATATAAAGTAAAATATCAGAAACATTAGCAGTACAAGCGTACAAGAGAGCCAGATATCTTAGGCTTTCATCGAGAGATCAAATCGACTGCGTTTGTAGGAAATAGGTAAGTACTCTGAATGTAAGTAAGATCAGTGAAAATAACCTTTGACGAATTTTTTCTAATTCTCGTGGATCGTTAACAACAACTTGTACACCCAGCTGCATTTTTGTCTTCTGAAGATTGAAGTCAAGGCAAGCAATCTTTGCTGGAGACACTCGTAACGGCATCCCTTGGGCAGCGCGGCCAGTGTTGAGTGCATACCCATTCAACAAGTAGCTGTCTCTGGCACTTTGTCCATGAGCTTTCAGAATATTAATCCCCTACAAAATAGTAGAAGCAGAATTGTTTAAACAAAGATATAATCCTGACTCCAGATGTATATTTGCAACTTTGACAGAGGAGCAGATACATACCTTGATAGGGTATTTAATCTCCCCCCGCTGATTTGTCATCTTTACTGACAGAACGGCATCCACAACCTTGAAGAAAAATGTGATTATTAGAGATCAGCTATATGAATGATCAGAGTATCACTGTAAGATTAACGGATCCCAGACCTTAATATAAAAAGCTAGAAAGAACTAAAGTAGATATAGGAATTGATAACACAATTTTATAGTTTATTAACAAAGCATGCAATTTACTTCCTCGTAATTTCAAAGTAAAAAGATCCGAAAGTAATACCAAATTGGCAAAGAAGTCGCTGTCACCAGATATCAGTTTGGAGGACATGGTGGTTTTAGCGCAGTTTATCAATGGAATTTTCCCAAGCTTTTCGACCTATAGAGCACAATAGTAGTCAGTTGAAGGGGGCAGAGACCGGCACTATAGAGAATTTACTAAATTATGCTGACACAAAAGCTTGTATAAAGAGAGGACGAACATAAATAAAATTTCCTCATTTATTCAAAAGGAAGAGGCGAAAATATATACCACAACAACAGGACTAACCTTAGTAACCAACTTCTCTTCAATGTATTTGCAAGCTTCTCTCATTGCTAGCTGTCAACAGAAACACAGGTTGTTAACACACTTGCGTAACGCAGGTACTAAAAACAAAGACAAAAAAAAAAAAAAAAAGTCGCGGCTTACCCTGTATCCACTGATAATTGAAGTTGGATGTATTTTGTTCCTCACCAACTCATTAGCCCTCTGCAGATACATACACAAGACCATTTAATCATCAAGCAGTTACACATGTGACAAAACTATTCTTGAACACCAAAGACAACAAGAGATATCAAAAAAAAAAAAACCTTAAGCAACTCAGCAGCTACAATAACAACAGAAGTAGTCCCATCACCAACTTCTCTATCCTGGAGTTCAGCTAACTCCACAATAACCTGTCAAAACACAAACACACATACGAAGGTCACTAACGATTCATATAAAAACACGAATAAATGTAGGTTGTAAAGTAATTAATCACCTTAGCAGAAGGGTGTTCGACGTCCAACATCCTAAGAATAGTAGCACCGTCATTTGTAATTGTCACATCACCAATATCATCCACCAACATCTTTAAAAAAAATAACAAGATTTACTATAAAGCCTAGAAGCCACAATAATAAATGAAAATCGAATTAAGAGTACACACACCTTGTCGAGTCCGACGGGTCCAAGAGAGGTTTTAACAATATTTGAAACAGTTTGACAAGCCATCACTGCAAACAATACCAGAATAAGTCAAATTACAAATCCCTAGAAATCGAACATTAAGTTTCAGATGAGCAGAAATGTGGAGATACCGTTCTGAGTACGAACATCTTGGCCGGATTGCCTCTCACCGGAAATATCCGGATTTTGAGCGGAGATCGACATATCCGGTTAATCGACGAACACGAGGGAGAAGCAAAATAGTAGCCCTAGATCAGAGATCTGAGCGAGTGCAGTGAAGTGAAGTGAGAGATTGTTCGCCTTTTGAAAGAACCGGCGGGTTTTAAATCAAGTTTTGGGATGTGCTTGCTGCCAAGGTATGATCGAAACGGTGCCGTATTAGTAGTTGGGCTTGGACTGCAGTCTATTTTCCAATTCTTAGCTAAATGGGCTTTGAGGATTTTAGTTTCCCATTTGTATTTGGTTTGAACAATTGAGTTTTGATCTGTTTTGTATGGGAACATATATGTTTGATTACTATTTACTAGGAGGAGCGAGACTGTAATCTATACTATATAAAAGTTGAGGCTATAAGCCATTGAGAGCGTCCACGTAGGATTTAAGTCCTCCAATCGTATAATGACACATCATTATATTAGTTTATTATTTTTATAAAATGTCATTGTTTCTAAATTACATTAAAAACGAAATTAATATTCCATATATAACTTAGCTAACAAAATAAATATTAACATTTTAAAAATTACTTAAAAATGTTAACTGTTATAAAAAAATGGAAATCAAAATTAAAAACGTAATATTAACAAAACAATATTGTCTTTTTAGATATACTAAATGTAAAGTATCATTTTTATAAAATGTCAATGTTTCCAAATTATATTAAAAACGAAATTAATATCCCAAATATAATTTAACTAAAAAATTAAATATTAAAATTTTACAACTTACTTAAAATGTTAACTGTTAGCAAAAAATGGAAAAAAAATATTGACAAAACATTATTGTCTTTTTATATATACTAAATATAAAGTATATTTTATACAAAAATAAAATAATAATCTAATAGTAAAATAGTAAAGTAACAAAAATCATCTTACAAAAATAAAATAAATTTAATTTTTTTTAAATATCACTGTTTCCAAATTAGTTTAATTAAAAAATTATTATCTAATAAAGC